CTTACACACAACACAAACATACACAAAGAGCCACCCACCCACATATACAGACAAACACACACACACGCAACATCTTGATAATATGCATTTTGCCCATTGCTACAGCGCTGTACAGCAAAAACATTTAAAAAGTTTTATTGAAATGCGATAATTTTAACTTTATGGGCCAAAATATTCAGTCACAACTTACGCACAACATACTTCACGAAACTAAAATACTTTAATCTTGCTCCCGGTTCATCCCTCTATTCGTTAAATATCGAATCCGCTCTAACCGCACCGTTTGCGGTCTTTATTCAAATTTTTTTAGTAAACCATTTTATTGGAAGCTACGCAAAAATGAACAGCTACAGCAACAACAGCGGAATTCTGCCCCAAATTCGATGGAATATAATTAGTTAATAAACTATGTATATACGCAAAGATTTGAGAACCTCTGACTCATCCTCTTCGTCCCCAGTACCATCCGACTTTTCTTCGATCAATATTGTGCTTCTCATATCAGCACCCATACACGATGCCAGAATATCCTTGCACAGAGACAACCAGTAACTTAACAAATCACTACTCGTTGCTTGAACAAGAGATATCAGTGTTTCCTGCAAACAGCTTCTTGCAAAAACGGAAAGAACGGAAGTTCGCTACGAGATTTTGGCAAGAAATTTTTGTGGTATATGTAATTACTTTACCGGTGATTTACCCAGAAATACAGCAAGAACCCATTCGCTCAGGATGTTCTGCCAAGAAATCACTACGGACACGAATTGTCAGGAATTTTTTAGAAATTCATTTAGTCACAAATACACATGGCCAATGATTTACAAAGGACCAACGCGCACAGAAATTCACAAGAATCCACGTAATAATCTAAAGTCTGCTAGGAGAATTTTACAAACTGCTTGCAAAGTGAGGAATTTTTAAGAAATATTTGGGGAATTAAGCCTACTTTAACATCCTGTTTCAGCATGTCATCAGTTTCAACATCAAGCATTGAGAGGAGAACGCCTTCGAGGCCTGTTTCCGGTAAGCCCGGCTCCGTATTACTGCGACTTATATTATTCATTATACCCTGTGGTACAAGTGTTTGAGCATGTTCGCGCACTTCTTTTGCTTCCCGCTGAACAAGTTGCCTCAAGCAGCAAACCGCTGCTTTTCGTAGCACCAAATGTGGACTCGACAGCGATCTCTGAAACAGGGCACGTCTCTACTGTTAGCCACTTATATCAACAGTGTCACAAATGGGGCATATTTTTATGAAAGGAAATTGAGCTCCCCCTCACGGAAACAGAATCAAGCCCTCCGTCACCAGCACCAACGTACTAACCGAAAAAACCGTACGTTGATTACCAAGTGTACGAG